CAATAAGAATGGAGACTATTTCATTTAATAAATACTTTGTTTTGATATACAAGTTGTTCGGATTTTTTCATCAAAAAAAGTGAAAATAATTTCTTGACGACTTAATATTTTGTTAAAATGAGGAATTAAGGTTTAAATAGAACATATGTCGATCAACACTACTTTATGGTTCAATATCATTTGGCAAAGTTAATGTTATCAATATTACTGTTTCTAAGTTGTCAGTTTTGTCGGATCAGTACTGTTAACAGAGTACATGGGATTTGATATTCCACCATTTGAAGAGTGCACTGCATACCCCATAGCTTCATAGCTAGGGGGCATTTGGTGATTTGTGTAATCATAAGGGTATACATTGGAATTATATGGGTAAGACGAACTCGTAGATGTATACGGAGGTGGTGCTGTACAAACAGTTGGTGTTCGTATATAGGACAGTGTTGTCCTCCGCTTTCTGCGGCAGATTACAACCGTTGCAAACACAATGATCACTGCTACAATGGCTCCTAGGGCAATTCCTGCTACCTCTCCTGCTGTTAATACTGTAAAAAGAAAATTAACAAATTACATGAAATGCTTTCGCCCTATATTTAGTTCATAGAACTAACCGTTTCTCTTGATACATATGACATGTCTTTGATATGTTTAAAGGACTTGCATAATATTTTAGGCTTAAAACATATGCTTTTTCATCTCTTTCTCACAGCCATCCTCCACTAGTGTGACTCAGTTGTAAGTCTGAACGCTCATAATACTAGAAATTTGGTTTCGATACCCATGATGGGCACAGCACAGCTATCCCACTGTGTTGCTTTGTGCGTAACATAAATATATATATATATATTTTTATAACAAGGCCACAATGAAACTTCTACGAATCGCCATCATTTCAATAGCTTTATCTCAACGTTATTTAGTTAAAATGTAAATCCTTCTTCCACAATATCAAACAGGTTACCTTGTTTCAAGAACGAACAGGATTTGAAATATTGTGGACACTAAGAAGAAGGAGTGTGAGTTTTTGTGTTTGTTTTTCTTATAGGAAAGCTACATCGGGATAACTGCTGTGTCCACCGAGAGGAATTTAACCCCTGATTTTAGCGTTGTAAATCCGTAAACTTACCGCTGTCCCAGCGGGGGACCTATGAAGAAGAAAGAAAAACATAATATCTCCTTGGAAATGGATATAACTTGATAAAGAAGTAAATAAAGACCACAAACACCATGAAAAAGAGAAAATTGTAAATACACAGCCACATTCTTTTATGTTAAAGGATTGTTTGTATTTTTAATCGTAATTCATTTTAGCTGTTTTTATTATACTAGTGATGAAACTAGGAATTTGATTTAAGTACTGTTATTTCTATATTAACTTTAAAATGTTTTTTCTTTGTTGTTGTTGTTAAGTACAAATCAGTACAATGAGCAATCTGAGTTGTACCCATGTGAGGGATCGAACCCCAATATTTAGCGTTGCAAGCTTGATTTTCAAATAAAAAAAATCGTTTGGTTGACATGAAATAAATTAGCGTTTAGAATTAAAATCAAAATTTTATTATTTTTGCATATTTTGCTCAACCATAACAAATATAAGATAAATTTTAAGCAGGTAAAAGCAAATTCCATTAATTACTAAGCATATATATATTGAACTAAAATACACAGATCGGGATGAAACTTTGGATGTATTTTATGAGTTCATTCTTAGCTAAGGTGAAGTTAATGAAATTTTAAGTTGAAAACACGCCACTAAACTATTCTTACAACTTACCTTTGCAATATGAATTACCAGAAGGTGATTCATCACTCGAATCACCACAATTATTATGACCGTCACATTTGAGACCATCGTAAATACAGCACAAGTTGTCACATTGAAAGTTGTTGCTGTTTTTACACGTACTACTGTAACCTAAATAAATAAATAAATATGGATCAATATACAGCCATCAACAACATCCTACGATCTCTCGCATTTACCAGGGACAACATTTAAAAAAGAAATGAAACATGGGGAATAGGGGGGGAGGTAAAGTTTAGCGGAGTTCTAGGGGCCTCTTAGGCCCGTTGAATCTGCTAGATTGTTACAAAGTTAAAAATA